GTAGTCTGGTCGATGTTTACCAACGTTTCAGAGGTCATACTGCCTCCGTCATCAGGGCGATGACCTCTGAAACGTTGGTTAACATCGACCAGACTACACAGCGCAACAACCCAGAAGACAGAAATCTTCATAATTATAGTTGTTTTTGTCCACGGTGTTTGAGGTATTTCCGAGGTTGGGGGGCGGGGTTATTTTATTCTAGTCTTGTGAATCTTAGGTTGGCTGCAGGGTCCCGTGCCGTTATGCCATACGAAATGTCCTCTACTCACAACGTATTGCCGTTGAGCTCGTTCCTCGCCAGGCAGTGCGCAGCTGTGACGATGTAACGTTTCGTAATGAGCGCTCCACCACATAAGAACCTCTTTAGTCCTGTCGCTGAAACAGATTTAAATGTCACAGTTTTGACTTTTAAAAAATCTCTTTCGTATACTTAACAGGTTCAGAGGGAACCCCGAATCGATCTATTTGTTACATGTGTTGACGTGGTCTTCATAATTTGATGCTAATTATCATCAGATTATCAAAATAATTAGGCATATATCTAAACCAATACGATATACGAATAAGTTTACGTCAGATATTTCTGTCTATGTTAGTTAAGTGGTTATCTTGTTACCACACGATGGCGCCGTCTCAGGTGGATGAGACGGTCCGCGGTCTGCATATATGCAGAATATCTGTGGGTACGAACAGTCGACCCAGCCTGAGCATTGAGCGGGAGTAAGAAACTAATTTGATATATAATTGGCCTTGTCATTCTCTTGTGGAATTATCTGCACTTGTTAATTGGCTTTCACCTTCACAGTAACGATTCTGTTCCACTGAGGTAATGGCATGCAAAGTTTTTGTCAGAATAGCTCAAGCGTAGAGGCTACTTGGGTTACTTAAGGTTAAATGAAAGGATCATATTAAAGTGGATCTAAAATAAGTATGCCGAGTTTTTACGCCTATAGAGTTTAGGACAACGCTGTAATTTGACATCGACTGGACGGCGTGAAATGATTGCATCTAATGACATTTTATCAAAAATGCTTCTTACGTGTTCTCCCAAACTGGTTCACATATTATTCAATTTTTCCATTTCTAAATTTGTTGAATTCTTTTATTTAATAATTATGCCTTTAAAATTAAATATTTAATGGTGATAGCTAGTTCTTCATTCTACAGGGTGATATATTGTTATAAAAACGTACGCTGGTAGTACAGAACATTTAGTCGGACGTGACAAAACTTATTCGGCAGGCCGCGACTTAAGGTATCTTACTTAAAACGGGTGTCAGGATGTTGACTGGTATCATGTGGTTTATGGTAGAGTCCGGTTGCGTGTGTCTGTGGACACAAAAATGAACATCCGCGTTCCGTGAAAGCGGACAAATTCTTGACCACATAAGAAAGAAACTCCATGAATCTGATAAGCTGGTAGACATTCAGATGGTAAAAGAGTTCAATCTTTTATGGAACTTAAAACCTCAAGAGCTCACCTCTGGATCCTATCATTAGCCAGATGAATCCAGTTCACAAACCGACATTGTATTCCTTCAGGATTCTTTTTATATTATCCTCTAATGAACGCGTAGGTATAGAAAATTAATTTTTACTTCATTTTATAAAAAATGGAGGACTGGCCTTCAAAATTAGATTGGCCTACCATTTATGCTTATTAGATCTTGGGAACGCCTTTAAAAAATCCTTTCAATTGTTACGATGTCACCTTTGGGGGGGCATGGAAGGTCCTGGTACAACAGGTGTGGTACAACAGTAGTTAAACATTAACATATTATAATATTAAAATAATTGTATCAGATAGTAAGTTTGACAAGTTCTTTTTCAGTGTGTTAACTTAAATACGAGTATATGGATGGGATGGTAGTAAATACTGTTCAAAAGTCAGCTGTCGTCAGTTCATAATTTCTGAGAAAATTTCCGTTACATTTAAGTAATTTAGGACTGAGATATGATCCTCTTAATGTAGTTTACTTACATGACTGGTACTGGAAGAGCGCTGTCCATGGGTACTGCCCTATATCTGTCCTGTTTCCACCCCATATTTTCTCACTACTGTCGACACCACACTGGTCAGCGGGTATTAAGCGGGCGTTGGGGTGTGACTCCCACCCTGAGGGCAGTCTCTGGGCCTGAGGCTCATTATTCCGCACTGGGGGTCTGTATCCCGTTGTAACTGGTATGGGTCGCGGTATCAAAAATGGTGAGTTTGGGCAGCACACTTTTGGAATTCTTCCATCGAATCCACACTGGGATTTTCTGAGGAATGCAATGGTTTCAGGCTGAAGAGGTTTCTGCTTCAGCAGTGACAGCAGTTCTTTACATTCTTGTATTGCCACACACTGGCCTCTGCAGCCTCCAGTGCTGCTACCTCCATAGTAGGAATACTCTAGAAACATGTTTCTTTGTCAGTAGATTTCATATAAGGTATTCATATCTACATACCAAAACTTTCCATTACAACTTCCTCTTGTTAAATGCTCTCATTAAGAAAGTTAAACTGTGGCACAAAATTTAGCATTTTTATGTTAACAAAATGACGATCATGACATTATGACTGCTAATAAACCTTTTAGAAATATGGTGAATTTCAGATATTAAATTTTGTGAATAACGGTAACAAATACAGTTATTCACTTGTAACTTAAGAGCAGATTAAATATGGGAAATGCTTGCTCCCATCCATCAAGAATAGTTAATCTTCTCATCACCTGTAAAAAACTTAAAAAATTAAAACATATGAGTATGAAACGTGAGGTCTCACCATGAATGAAAAACATCATCTTAAGATATTTGAGATCGTGGTGCTAAGGAAAATATTTAGACCTAAAGTACAGAAAGTAACAGAACAACAAAGAAAATTACATAATGAGGTGCTTAATTAATGTTAGACGTACGTGAAGGTGGGATAATTAGATTAAATTGTATCTTAAGTAAGGTTACGTGTTCTGACGTGTTATGAGAATAACATTAAAATTATTATGAGGAAAGAAGGTTGTGAGTGGCTGGGATTTGCTGCTAATAAACCAGTGCCACCACCACAGTAACGCTGTCGACTTCTCGGTCATTCATCCCAGATGGGAGTTGTGTTTGGTCCAGAATATTTTCACAGTGATGCAGCTTTGAATAAGATGCAAGTATTAAAAAAAATAACCTGGTGACAGCACATCTTTGTTTATATCTCTGTAAAGATTATTAGTATAATTAAGTGGCTCGTTAAGAATTCTTTACTTTTATGAAACCTGAAGTCTCAGATGAACAGATTGCTGGTCTGTGTCTTAGACCAATTCAGTCAGTCTAATTCACACACCGTAGCTTTAATTTTATACTATAATCCATGAACAAGTCTTCCAAGTGGTCTCTTTTCCTCAACATTTCAGACCAAAATTTTATATACATTTTCGAATCCCCCTTGAACGCTGTATGTTTCTCCCACCTTTTTCATGATTTCATCCTATATGATCTTAAGAGTATAAATTATGAAATTCTTCTGTATATAATATTCTCAACCTTAATATCATTCACACCTCTCTTAAGTCGAAATGTTCTGCTCATCACTTATTTTCAGGCAGCCTCTTAGGGCACGACACGAATTTCATGCACTTTAAATCCTTGTGTTTCAGTTGTAAAATCTTTTAGATAAGACACATTCACAAGTTGGTGAAGCTTGTGTACCCTGAAATGCAGTCGTGTAACACACACGTTCTACTTACGTGATACACTGAAAGAGAGCAGGCAGCTTAAGCCGAGAAAAATGCACTGTGGTCTGAGAGCCATCCTGGGATAAACTGCACACTTGCGTGGACCAACCGGTCTGCCTTGGAATGTCCGAGGCGGAAAATCCCTACTTGCTGTTTGTGTTGTGGCGTAAACGTGGAGATTCCTACGTTACTGGGAACGCCACAGCCCTCCGCGGTTCTCTGCGGGCGTTTCAAACATAAACAAAATCTTAAACAGGGCGTCATATTTGATGTCCCATTCTAAGGACAGACCACACATTTTCGGCGTTTCATTTCTGGGTAAAAGGTGACAATATTTGGCGAATGAAAGAAGAGATAAGAGGGAGAAAAGTATGATGAGGAAATTCACAGTTTGTACTTTCGAAGAAATGTTATTAGGGTGATTAAACAAAGCAGAACTAAATTGGCAGGGCATGTAACACGATTGGTGGAAACAAGATATTTTATGTATGAGAATCTCAAGGATATACACCACATGGTTGAGCCACGCATAAATGCAGAAGCTAATTTCTTTTCCAGAAGATGATAATTGTTTAGTTCCTTAAGAAATTGTTCACATTTTACGGAGTCCGTATGTTTATTACCATATTCAGAAGAGCCCTTCACTGGACAATATTTTGAAATGATCCATAGCGGAGCTGTGTCAACTCAGGGTTCCATGAAAGCATGGAATTTCTTAAGGAAGACCTTTAAGAATGAATTAACCGTTTTGAATACTTGGAAACAAAAAGACGAAACAGTTTGGCAGAATTTTATACATCTGTGATTTCAAACCTGAAATGTCGAGTAGTTAAGAATATAAAATTAAAATGAATATTAGATAAGCGTGTTATAGGAATGGTAGGTAGATGGACCCGTCTCAGAAACGTGTACAGCGACTGTCTATGATAATAGGCTGGTCCGTCTGACTCCGTAGGATTTCGAGTTCTTACGTCGGTGATCACGAATATGGCTGTCTGTTGGGTTGTTGTGCCGTGTAATCTAGTAGAAGTTTGCCAGCGTTTTAGAGATATTTGTTGCCTCTATCATCAAGGCGATGAGTCTGGGTAGTTACGTTCCTCTTCGCCACCCCCGAGTTCAGTCTTAATCTGGTCCCCACTCAGTGTTTTATAAAATTCGCAGAGTGGACTGTTTCTCCGGGGATAAAACGACCTGAGCGTAATGGTGTCCGTTAACTTTCATTTAGTGCCGATGTTTAGAATTCACGGAACTTTCCCTCAGCTTCCCTTAAACAACACCATTTATTTTTTGTTGGTGTGCGTCCTCCTTCCGCGAATCTTCTATTAAAGACGAAAGTGGTTGAATTTTTGACGTCAAGCGCTACTCCAAGGCAAACGGCTAAACACTGATTCCTTCGTCAGTGGTGTGTATTATTCGGAAAGGAAGATGGATTTTACAGTGAATTAAAGTGACTGATTGTAGACTGGACTGCCAGAATTAATAATTCGGCTAAGAAGCAGGGATTCTATTCTTTGTTTCCGCTGTGTCCTGACCGACTCTGGCGCCCATCCAGCCTCCTTACTTGGGTTTGTTCCTCAGATGCAAGGCTAACTATGCACTTCAATCTAATGCTTACGTTAAGAGTGTTTACATTCACATCTACATTTCATTATGCAATTATTTTTAGGCAAGGGGGACCTATGCGTTTATCATTTATTGAATTCAATAAATAAATGTAATGGACTATCCAAATAACTGAAGTGAAGATGTAGAAACAGTAAGGATCTAAAGAACGTCGGCAATATAAGCCTACACCTACATGATACCATAATCCAGAAACAATAATCAAATAAATCTTGTTAGCGTTTTACGCGCATTTCCTCGGTCTTCCAATATATGTCTTATTTCTCATATAGAATAATATTTTTGCAGTCGATATGACCAAAAGAAATTAGCTGTTAATGAACTTGAAAGCTCTATGTTTGCTGTTATATTCTGGTTTGGTTGAAATAGCATTATGGATCGAAAATTTACCGACACACACGTACTAACGCGACTGGTTCTGGTTCTTTCCTTGTTCCTGTTTATGATGATCATTAGTGTAATTATCAGCAGTCCACTGAGTCACCTGAAGGGGGGGTGGCGGATTGGCAGAGTTTTAGTGCCTGAGGCAGCACTTGGTCATTACAGGGAACAGTTTATGTAGTTGATTCAGAAGAAGTAAAGCGGATTAGAAAGGCGTGTTCCTCGAAACGTTTAGTGCAAGACTCTCAAAAGTCCAGTCCAGTATTACGAGTCGGTGTTGCGGTCCGGTCGCTTCACCAGAAGAAGGAAGGAAGGAAGGAAGGGTGCCATAGAGTTTCGATACTGAAAACCCTTTCCCCTCGTGGTTGTACAGTTCTTGGAGATCCTAGTCACCTCATTATGTGAGGTTTGGAAACTTTTTCTTTTCGGAATTTGCTAGATTTCCTTGGGCGCTGGGTAAGCCCGTCACAAGATAATACGAGGTGCGATCGGAAAGTTTCCAGACTGTGTCAATAGAGGGCGAACCGGATGTAGTACGAGCTTCTGCCGCTAGGGGGTGCGGCCTACATTCATAGTGAATCAGTGTGCCAGCCGGCATCATCGAATTAGCATTTGTTTCTTAGTTACGGGCGTTTTGGTAGTGCATTACACCGACCCTCCTGCGATTTCGGAATGGCGTGTGCATCAAATGTTGCCAAAG